CAGTCCTGATCGAATGCAGAGTCACAACACGAAAGCACAACAGTGATATCACGAAGCCACCTTACTTTGATATACAGATGGGGCTGGGTGTCTATATCTTCTTCTAGGGTTCCGATCTCTAGGTTGCCTTCAGACTGCGAGGACGCAGATGGAACAGATCCACCCACTCCCACCGTGGAATTTGTGGCGCTGTGTGTTCGTCTGCTGCTAGCCATGATGTACTATACTGCTTTGCAAGAGATAAGATGAACACTTTTATGGTTTGGGCACCGTGCCTAGTATTCTGCTTGATCTCTCTCTATATATATATATATATATATATATATACTCGTGTACACGTACCCGTATCTGTGTAGGTTGTGTGTGATTCGTAAGCTAGTCTCGTAACGTGGGTTGTCCTTAATGACGATTCATTCACTACGACACGTGACGGTATAGAGGTACAGAGAACATCATGGTTGTCGCGTCGTCTATAAGTTGCTTTGTATTCCTCAATTGTGGCACCTGGCTATTTGAGGTGTGTGCCGTGATAGACGTGATAAAGAGGGTTCTACCCTTTGATGATACTACACGATGTACAACAAGAAGCGCATATGGTACATATATCTCTCTGAGGGGATTGTCGTCGACTGTGCTCTCTCTCTGGTTGATATGAGGTTTATATTAGCCTTCTCTGGTTGATATGAAATTATTAACCAGCCTTCTTGGGATCGGAATTCGGAAGTTGAACAACGTCAGACGACGAACAGATAAATAAACAACAACGTCTGACAGTGAAAACGAACACGCAGCTCGTTTCTACTAGAGTATAAGAGACTGGAGAGAGACTAGCGAAATATGTAAATAAAATAAATATAAAAAGCATATCGGAAATTAGAATGATCTTATCAGCTTCTGAATTGCGACATATCTGATGTCATATGTTGCATACCTAGACACCATTTGTGGATTATTCATATTTCTACGTATTCTAGTCGAAAGAAGACCTTCCATTTCTGACAAATTCAGCAGTATATGTCGTTTATTGCAGTTGAAATGTCGGAAACAAAAATTGCATGTCAGCTGACTCATGGACTGTGTGACATTCGACACAATTATCATTCGGTGCGGGGGCTGCGGGGGCTATCATGCGTTTTGGCTCCATTTGACATATTAGGACTTCAAAGTTCAAAAATGTCGTGATGTATGTATCGTTGTCTGTAAAACTAATCAAATATCTTTCGTTAAACCTGCGCAGCTCTATTTAAAATAGCTTCCTTCCTATCTCGGCTTATACCCAGCAATTTTGAAATATTAACATCAGATATATTCAAAATGTTCCGATCTTGTCTTCTCCGCTCAAGTCGTCTGGCAGTAGCTGCCAACGCAACCAGCCGAACATTCACAACCAGCTTCAGGTCGACCCTCTTACAGACGCGCGCATCGCCGTCAAGATCGGTGCTTTTACACAGAGGTGTGAACGCAAATGCCTTGTTGACTAAATATGCGCGTACGTACACGTCAGATACCGACAGAGATATCAAGGCTAAGATAGAGGAGGTCATCAAGGCTAACAAATTGGTTGTATTTATGAAGGGTGTCCCTGAGGCTCCCCAGTGCGGTTTCTCGAACGCCGTGTCGCAGATTTTGAGCATGCACGGGCTGAAGGACTACGTTAGTTTCGATATTCTGCAGGATCAAGAGCTTCGACAGGCTATCAAGGTGTGTTGGTTTGGTTTCATCTATATTTCACAAAACATGGAATATTAGGCTTCAGCTTAAGGCTGTATTTACGTCAAGGCGTGATACTCCACTGTAGTGCACGTGAAGTTTGTTTGCTTGTATGTATGTGTATAATGTATACATTTATGTGTTTATATATATATAAACACACACACGCACACGCACACACTCATATAAATATATATATATATACATGTACGTATGTATATATAAGACTACGGGAGAAAGTGACCAGCTGCCAGTATTTAAATATATATATATATATATATATACAAGCATGTATGTATACATGTATATATATATATGTCTGTGTCTGTGCATGTGTGTATTTGAAATTTTGTATATATGTGTGTATGATTTATATATATATATATATTATTGTTATTTTTATGGAATTTGGTCGGAAGTGTGTGTATTTATATTGTCGTGTATGTATATAAAAATTGTGTGTATGTGTGTTGGTATGTTTCCATGTTTGTCAATATTTATTTTCACACACACATATATATATATATATATGTATGTATATATATATATATATATATATGTATATATATATATATATATATGCGTATATATGCTATTTTATTGTATGCATGCATATAAATGTATATGTATATGTATATATATATATGTATATGTATATGTATGTATATATCTATATATATATGCGTATATATGCATTTTATTGTATACATGCATATATATGTATATGTATATATATATATATCGTTAGACAGCTCTACAAATTTATAGGTAGGGAGACATATACCTTCCTATCTTCTATAGCTCTATGCTAGTGTACTATAACTATAACTTCTCTCTAACAGGGATAGGTATATCACTACATCATCTAATAGTACCCCTCCCCTATAAGTCACTCACCCTGTGGTCGGCTAGCCTTACAACGCGGATCATCCTTCGTTAAAGGTGGCTTCGAGGGGTGATTATAACATATGTATATATATATATATGTGTGTGTGTGTGTGTATTTGTTCATATGCTTATTTATATATGAATATATATTATTGTGTATTTGCGTTTGTATTGGTATGTGTATGCTGCCATATATATATATATAGTATTCACATTCATATACATGTATGTTTGTATGTATACACATGTCTTTTATATTTGGATATATACTTGCCTACGAGCGTACATATTAGTATACGTATACGTACTTGGCAAAAAAAAGTCACAAGAATCAGTTCCTAATATCGACTTGCGTATTGATTGTTCAATCTTATACTAGCGAGTTATGCATCATATATCAATGCATGATTCTGCCTATTGATTGCAAATTCACTTTCTCTCTTTTTTAATGCTGTTTTGGGGAGAGTGATGCACAAGATTTAAATTCATTTGATGAATCTATTCCTTTAACGGACAGGTTAGATCATGGCTATCGTGTATACTTGTGTGCGGATACAAATATTATACTCCTCGGCGACAGGAATATACTGTCGCCTATCTGTTGCCGTTTTTATTGTCTGTGTAGTCAACCCCTTTGGACTTCCTGTGGCTGTTCTGTTAAATAATTGATTGTCGTCTTATTGTCCGTCTTTCGGTTACTAACCTCATTCTATCCGCTTCGATTTGGTATCTCCAGGAGTATTCTGATTGGCCCACTATCCCGCAAGTGTACATCGATGGTGAATTCGTCGGTGGGTGCGATATCATCCTGGAACTGCACAAGACTGGCGAGCTCATCAATGTGCTGAAGGGTACGTTTTGGATGTTTCGAGATCTGTGTATTGTTCTTTACTGGCTGTGATATTTGTGCACGTTCCGTATTAGAAATATTAGTCTAGCCATCGATGGTTTGCATACAATTCGTCACCATACGTTGTTTCATTCGCCAGCCTCTTGTTTTGGCTGAGTATAATGCTTCATGCACTGTGAGTTAAGCTCCTACCTACATCCCATTCTTACTATCAACAGAAGCTGGTATTGAGTCCACGATGCCAACCGAAGAGTAGAGTTCAATATAACATTAGAATGCCCGTTCGTGAAGGCACAACACCCCCAGAGCCCTCTATTCTTCCTAGTTATCTATAGATGCAAGCTACGTGTATTCGCTTGGGGTCAGAGAAATTAGACATGCTCGGCTGTATCGATTACTGTGGAGATGTGCTCAAGCTTGCCATCTACGGTAACAACGATAAAAGATGCAAATCTAATACATATTCTCTGCAAGGGTAACTAGTATATCGAATGCTCCACAATTTTGACAACATATTGCGTGATTCACAGCGGTGCAACATCATTGGTAATATCGTGCAAACTATTTGTTCTCTTGTTTACTTGCATTTTCTATATTCGAACCGGTATAGAATCAGCTGTGCTCACTGCCTTGTCAATGACGCGCTCAGTGCATGCCTTCTTGGTATCGGCACCGGTTTACTCGCCACAGGCGAATACGGGGCTTACGAACAACAGAGTCAATCTGATCAACCAAGGTGGTAGCCGAAGGCAACATGGTCTTGGCCTTTACGAGAAGTTCTTCGATGCAAATCACGAGCTCGGCCTTGGTTATAGTAGTTAGACAACTGAAAATGTCAGCATTGACAGCATCGGATATAGTAGTGAGACAGTTGAAAATGTCAGCATTGACAGCATCGGTATCACCCTGAGCAGTAGCAGTCATATCAGCCACGCCAACCACCCCTAGCATCAGTATTTAGATTTTGTAGTTGAGCTATCTGTGCGTGTCGCCTGCGTATACAGCCCAAAGCTGACGCTCACTGTTCTTCCTGGCGCATTTTCTATCTTATATCGTACCCTTTCCTATGCTCCATTCCCACGGCTAGTTGAGTTCATACGTAGCAATGTAGCTCTCCTTGGTTACTGCATCAAACTCTTTCCGACATTTTCCTTTATGGTCACGTCATGATAATGTATTGATACAAATGTTTATTTCACATCTCACAGCCAGTTGACTCTTGTGCTGGGCTATAGCCACAGTTGGGTTTTTAGGACTTTTAAACTGGGCTAGAGGAAAGGACTGCTTTCAAACTATAGTCAGAAAATCCCGATACATCTAAAGACACTTCTATGCTGTGCGCTCTTGGCGGAAACACACGCAGCTACACACTTCGCCCTCGAGAGGGCGGGGGCATGCCCTCAAATAGTGAACGAGCCAAGGGGGATTCGAGAGAGAGCGCAGCCATTCCTCGACTACCCCTAGTCTCAAGAAATGCGGTATTGCTGATTTTAATGATCGCGAATTTAATTGCTAGGGCGGCAAATTATTATCAGATGTGTTTATGTAAGCTGTCTTGTAGTTTCCCTCCGTATCGGGAGTGGGCCAGTCTGCTGCAATATCGATCGTCTGAGGAAAACGCAACATATAGTGAAATAGTCTTAGTATCCACTTGCAGATTCGGTCGGTCACGGTAAGTAATGATAACTGAAATCTACACAAATTCGTTTCCCTGAAGAAAAGCATGCTTTCAAATATACACCTTGTGCAAATTCGGGCACGGGTAACGGGAAGTGTGGGAACAAAAGGAATGGTTAACCTTACCACCCCATTGCCAAGCGGCAAGACTTCGAGGTTATAGTAAAGTTTTCACCTTCAAATCTATGTCAAAATATGACGATCACTCCTACAAATATTTTCGAACGCCATGACACGGCAGAGTGTTGCATTGCGCTAAGAAAGTACTAATTGTGGCGCAATTAATGTGGTAAAAATCACACAGCTTAAGTACGCGCGTACACAAAGATCGCGGTTCGACATACTCAAGAAGTAAAAACAGGTAAAATCATACGAGGACGATTATCGGAGCTACGGTTAGTGTGTGTGATAGAAGAGACCCTGTATCCGAACCGAAGTGCAGCAGATACCACCTTGAGTAGTTCGTGACACGAAATAGCCTTTGACTAAGGTATGGCACATGTGACATCAGCGGCATCTGATGGGATGGTTGAGGCATAGAACACTTATATGCATGCACATATACAGTCGAAACAACACGAATACAGTACGTGTCAAGCGTTGACGTAGTGCATTGATAGTACCTCTTCCGGGACGAGCCAATTGCACAGGAGCAACAGTAAATAATCGATGGCGGCCATTATAACGAACACTGGCCCGGCTATAGACCCGCATGAGTAGTACCTGTGCAAAAAGGGGTCCGATTAGACTACTCCGCGTATCTAGTCACGCTGACACCTAATTTATTCAACGGCCAATTCACTAGGAGTGACATTGCTTAATCGGTTTGCACGGACATTTACAGTTGTAGGCATGGGATGGAATACGGGAATGATGTTGCCGGCGATGCGCACGTGTTAACGTCGAATCGATTGGAGACGTCTGGGTGACTATGTCACTTTATGACACGCGTGCATTCATGGGATCAATATATGATTTCTGGCACAAAATATAAATTGCTAGATCTAGCATCACCGATAGAGGGGCACGAAGATGTATATCTGAGAGAATGGTCAGTTTGTTTTTCTATGCTCGCTATGAGGTAGAAATGTCAAAATTGAATTGCATTATTGCATATATCTGGCGGAATCCATGCTTATATCCTAGGTTGATCTCAAACCTCTGCTCAGTACCATTGAAGCACTGTATTACTAGCCAATCCAGCACTGAAACTCTCTACCTATCAACACTTAAAATAGAGTTTTATAACCAGCCATTTATATACATACACTCTAACGACAACACTCACACTCTCACACATATCCAAGCACAAAAAGCATATATATATATACATACATATATATATATATATATATATATATATATATATATATATATATATATATATATATATATATATATGTATGTGTGTGTGT